CTCCATGCCATCAAGAGTGTTCACAAAATGCCTGGCAGTGGCAGCAGCATGTTTTTAAGACAGGGCATTCACATGTATCATTACCTAGAAGACTGGCTGATCAGAGGCAGGTCTCAGCAGGAGACTGCAACAGGCCTAGGGTATGGCCTCTTCATGTTTCCTCAGCTAGGCCTCCTAGTGAACTGTGAGAAATTCACAGATGATAGAGTTCCTAGAGGCTATGAAAGACTTTCAGTTGGCAAGAGCCTACCAACCAGAGGACAGGTTCTGGTCTCTTCAGTGACAGATTCTATAAAATCTGATCTGATGACAATGGTGCATGCTTGCTTAGGACTAGCAGGCCACTTGTCAGCATGCACATATGTGATTCCAATTGCCAGGCTTCATCTGCAGTCCCTAATTCTATGGCAGAGCACTCACTATCTAGGCACCACTTGAACAAGAGACACAGGTCCACCTCAGGTCCTGTGGTAGCTAAATTCATGGCTGCAGCCCAAGAATGCTGTGACCCTGCCTTGACATGACACTCCTCACAGACACCTCAGGGACAGGTTGAACCATCTGCAGATGCAGGGAACCTGGTCCCAGGATGATTTGAAACTCTGTAAACGTCCTGGAGCTCAGGGCCATAAGATTAGCCTGTGTAGGATTTCTGTCTGTTCTCCCCAGGGGAGACCTTCACAAACAACCCCTCCTCAGTGCACTGTTATAAACAAACAGGCATTCATTTATCCCCTTTCTGCCAAGAAGCCATCAGGCTGTGGGCATGGTGTCATCCTTAGGGGGTAATCCTGTTAACTTGGCATATTCCAGGAACCAGCAACAACCTGGTGTGACGCTCTCCTCAGGGCACCCAGAACTGTAAGCCACTGTGTTACCTGCTTGCCTCACAAGAAAGAGCTTTGCTGGAGCTTTAATCTGTCGGCTCCCTGCCTCATCAGCTAACTTCTTGAGACTCTGCTAGACTTAACGTTGCCTTGCAGGTAGCAGTCAGTGGACCTCAGTTCCAGAGTTCTCCAGAGATGTGTCTCTGCAGTGTCCAGTCCCTGTCACTGGACACTCCCAGAAATTTTTAAGTTGCTGCCTCCACAGAGACAGTGCACACACTAGCCTATTAGTTAAGTGCGAGTCCTCAGCTATACTTCAGTATAACACCACTGAGATGGTTTATAGTAAAGAAAATAGATTTAAGTGATACTAAGCAAGAGAAAAAGAGACCGGTATGGTAACACACAAAATAATAAAACATGCTTTCCAGTGTCCAAGGCTGAAATTTATCTAGGGTGACCAGATGTCCCGATTTTATAGGGACAGTCCCGATTTTTGGGTCTTTTTCTTATATAGGTTTCTATTACCCCCCTACACACACACACCACCTGTCCCGATTTTTCACACTTGCTGTCTGGTCACCCTAAATTTATCAGACTCCCATGTTTGTCTAGACAGCTTTCTCCCTGGCCAAGGCAGTTCTGTCTGTCAGACCAGCTGGATATTTGCAGTGGGCCTCCCATATATCTCCCAGCCTGTTCAGTCATATCTCAGAATCATGATTAGGTATTGCACCCCAACCCACAATCATTGCACTTGATGGTTTGGGTGTTGGCTACAGACAGACACTACTCTATACAAATTCAGGAAATTCTCATACAGAGCAGGAAGCCATTACTAGGAAATCCTACTCCTCTAAATGGAAAAGATTTTCCATATGGGCAACCTGATGCAATCTAGAGTGAGTATAGACCCTGAGGCTGGGTCTACACTACCCGCCTGAATCGGCGGATAGAAATCGACCTCTCGGGGATCGATTTATCGCGTCCCAACGGGACGCGACAATCGATCCCCGAATCGACGCTCTTACTCCACCAGCGGAGGTGGGAGTAAGCGCCGTCGACGGGAGGCCGCAGAGGTCGATTTTGCCGCCGTCCCTACAGCGGGGTAAGTCGGCTGCGATACGTCGAATTCAGCTACGCTATTCGCGTATCTTAAATCGGCCCCCCCCCTGTAGTGTAGATGTAGCCTGAGATAGAGTCCTAGACTACATGCTGAGCTTCAGTCTGGCTTAGCATTTAACTCTCAAGGTCCACCTTGTATTAACATTGGCATGTCACATTCTGGTACAGTTGTGCTCAGTCTTCTCATATCAAACAATATCCATTTTCTTCAAAGCCCTTCTGCATACTACCCTCCCGTTAGAGACCCCACCCCACCTGGCACCTCAATGTCATCCTCCCAGTGTATTTCTGCCTGCTATCAGATAGCCGATGGTCCTGTGCCTCCAAATATCAAGGTGCACTCCACCAGGGCACGGGCAGTGTCTTGATCCAGCTTCAGAAATATGCTGATATTTGAGATCTGCAAGGCAGCAACATGGAGCAACTCACTTACCTTCATTAAAGATTACATCCTTGAAATGGCAGCCAGGTCAGAGGCCAAGTTCATGGGAGCGGTGCTGCAATCGTTATTTCACTAATGTTGCTGAAACACCTCATTCCCACCATTTAGAGGATGCTGTTTGCCTGTCAACTACAAAGGGATCCATACGGACACACATTTGAGAAAAAAGAAGGGTTACTTACTCTACAATAGCTATAAGATACAGTCAGTTTGGATCCCACGGCTCACCCTCCATCCCTGCTTTTCAGAGCCCTCAGCAACCGTGGGGGAACTAAGGGTACATCTACACTACAGGGGGGAGTCGATTTAAGATACGCAAATTCAGCTATGTGAATAGCATAGCTGAATTCGACGTATCGCAGCCGACTTACCCCGCTGTGAGGACGGCGGCAAAATCGACTTCTGCGGCTTTCTGTCAACGGCGCTTACTCCCACCTCCGCTGGTGGAGTAAGAGCGTCGATTCGGGGATCGATTGTCGCGTCCCAACGGGACGCGATAAATCGATCCCCGAGAGGTCGATTTCTACCCACCGATTCAGGCGGGTAGTGTAGACCTAGCCTAAGGGAAAGTCACAGCTGCTCCGCCCTTTCTGCTCTCATGGAGGAGCATGAGGAGGCACAGGATGCATATGCGCCTCCAGTGGACTGCTGTTCAAAAGATCTCGTGCACCATGGAGTACATGTGCACTACTGTAAGATCTATACCTAACATCATCTCCAAGAGCCACAATTACTGTAGTAACCTTCTTGTCAACTGTCTAAAATGGGCCATCTTGATTATCACTACAAAAGTGTGTTTTCCTCCTGCTGATAATAGCTCATCTTAATTAATTAGCG